ATTCATTTCGGTATTTGATGTTGTCTCACATTTGAACTGAACGATTTTTTCAGATGATCACAGTTGGACCCTTCTTTAAAATACTTGATTCACAGAAACTGTCCAGTCTTACATTAGGCAGCAACGTGAATGAAAAAAACAACAACGCGTGTTTCAACTTGCAATAATAGATCGATCAGCCTTAAAAGCAGTTTTATTGCCAGCCATAAAACTCTGCCCGAACTGTTAAGTAGGACACGACAAAGAAACGTTTAAAATAGAAGAAATTCGTTTGTATTAACAGAAAAAGATTAACGACTCTCACAAGGAACTAATCTTTGTTTCAAACAACTGACTGTCTACAAAACTGTCTGTTAATACGAGTATTTAGTGCAAAAGTGATTAATGTCTCTATAAGCGTAGAATGTTTGTAAGTCTGACGCAGAAATAACTTTTTATTCATATAATGTATACATCTGAACCATTTTCAACCAGATTAAGTATCAACATGTGAGTAGAAGCGGTCGTGGTCTATTAATAAGTCAATCAAGTGCAGACGAGTGAAAAAGAACCAACATTAATGGCTACTCTAGTTATATGGATGAAAACAGATTGGCAAAGCAAAATGATAGCCTGTGCATACAAGCTGTACGCTTGCTAGTGTCTGTGTGTCTGTGTTTGTACCACGTGCCATTACGCAAACATCATGGAACCACATCCCTGTGTCGTCGATCTAATTTTGTTACCTCTGTCGTATTTCTCGGTTTGTTCAGTTTGGCTTACAAACAGTCAAACACACAAATGCGCGTAGAATAAAGCCAGTACTCACGTAAGGCGCTCCTTGAGGAACTCAACCCAGTCCTCCTGAACGAGCAAGTCGTCGCGGTCCTGGTCGAACAGCTGGAACAGCCTCTGCAGCAGCTCCTGCAAACAATAACACACGCTGCATAATCACTAAGCCACTGTTCCATCCGTACCCACGCTTTTATAAACAATGGAATAATGGAGACGGCAGAAATGCATTCCCTCAGATCGGCCACAGGACACAGAATGACGTAATTAAAATATTAAACTAAAATGACAGGCATAATTGCAATAATAAAAGAACTTGCGAGATAACAATCGCGAATGCTTGGTCCAACTCGTCTTTAATTGGCTACACGTGTAAGAGGGTAAATATCTGCAACAGTTGACAGTAGCTGATACCAGGGATCAACAAGTGATTTGCTTGTTCCTCTCTCAGACACCTTGAATTAGCCCAACTCCGAATTAAAAATTAAATTTGTGGGATAAATCTTGATGGGGCTCAGTAAATCCTCAGGGCCCGCCTACACACGGCGCTGAAAACGCAGCTTACGACGTCCTTTTCCGAGACGGCCTCCCCTCTTTCTCAAGACTAGATTTAAAAATGTATACAGAGCAGAAAAACCGACTTTTGCATAATTCTGAACAAATTTGCTGCACATGAAACATAATAAAATTCTTCATATCAAATTTTATAAAAGTATTTCCAAGCGAAGATGTCATGTGAACTAAATACGGACAGAAATACGTACATGGCCAAGTTCATAGAAAATATCACCTCATTGCGAGGAGTGACTGAATACAAAGGTTCTTGCAGGTGATCCTTCACAATTCTGGCTGCATGAGAAAACCCTGGGATACATCACTTTTATTCAAAAAATTGAATCACTACAACATATTACGAATTCTCGGACGTCGCAGACATGCTTCAGGACTGAGAACTACAAAGGGATTTTTGCTGCATAAGTAATCACATCGCCCTGATGGTGTAAGGAGTAAGCACCTTTAAAACGTCGGACAACTTCAATGACATCACACGGCGCAACATTCCAGAAGACAGTCAGTCTTCAACAAATATTACTATACTTCCAAGGAAGTTGACGTACAAGCATCGAACTTTCAAGTTAATGCTCACTGTTAAGCGTCATAACTTTCTGACATCTATAAAGCACCTTCAAGACCTCGAGTGATGTTATAGCTCATTACTGAAAAAATTAAACAGATCGAGAAGAATGTTCTCTCACCAGTAGAATCCCTTGGCGCCCAGACGTTCATAGACTTAATTGGAGACGACACTGATGTGGATTTTATTAGGCGGGTCATGTACCTGCCAACTGGAGAAGATTCTGGGGCCTTGCGAGTCCTGTAGAACAAATAGCACATGGCACGTGGTTCTTTGCCCTATATCAATTTCAGCTACAGCTCAGTCAGTAACTCATTCGATTAAATCAAAATGCAGATAACATCGATTCTGACAGGAAAATGACGTATACAGAATGCAAGCAGGGTGGCGAAGACAGTGATGTATTCTAAGTTGTTCATTCAATGGGTTTAAAGTCGATTTAGCTTCACTGGCTATTACCAGCGACTGGCCACACATTAAAGCAGGGGTGATGAAACTTTACAGACCTGCAGCAACATTCACCCTTCCTTATCGACTCTCGGACATTTTATTGCAATTCATGGCGATTTATTAACATGTTACTAACTTATTATTTCACACAGATTTATTTATCAAAATCAGCATTTGACACCAAGTTTACTTCATTAAAATTTCACCTTCTGCATGCACCCGCCTCAAATGGCCATCAATAAGACATGTTCTGAATTGATATTCTTCACAGAGTAGGAAGTTTATCGCAGCTACCGAAACTACCAAACGTCCACAACGTTATTTCTCGTCATATAGAGTGACAAATTATTACCAAACACGTATCGGAGATCATCCTCTTGAGATCAGTAAAATATGTTCGAAATATGAATTTTCGTTCATATGGTTCTAATAAAATCACTACACTATATAAACATCGAATCTAATTTTACAGATTTTTATTAGATACAAATGGATGTTAGTGCAAAAGTGGTACTTGACTTAATTTGATCAATATTTAAAACTCTAATTTCAAAACATCGGTGTGGTAAATATTTACGAAAATTAATGTTTTCTGACTATGTAGTTTAAAGAGAGATTTTCAATTAATATAGGTTCTGCCTTAAACATATTTCACTGTAATAAATCTAATTTTACGCTACATAATCTAGAAAGTTTATACACCGTCATTAAATACATAGATAACCAAACAATGATAAAAGAATGAACAGAAAATTACTGGTAGACACTTTTGCCTCCCATACGGCATTCCAGAAAGAGCTCCTTAAAAAGCCAGTGGTGTGTGATTGAGTGAAGTCGCGCTGAGAAGAAAGACAAGCCGTGACTACTTCAGGAGCAATGTGAAGTTATTGAAATCTGTCGTGCGGTTATCAGCTCAGCATTACCACGATTCCATAAGCAGCGAAGCGAATCACGTCTCAACTGCTTTTTGCATTACACCAGTGACGGATCTAGCATTCAGCCTCGGTCTGCTCGCGGTATGCACTGATAATGAATCAACTTCACAGGTCATTTAGCTGCGGATTAGACGCAATGTAAAGAACTAGGAAGGAGCAGATGTGGCACATTTCAAGGCACTGCTTCGAGGAACTACGGAAAAACACGAGAAACGTCACCCAGGATTCTGCGTGCCTTGACCAGGATTCAAATAACGTGCTTTTAGTCTTTACGAAAATATACGGGATGGCGACAATTTTAGAACTGAACAGTGAACCATTTCTTCTCCTAACTTAAACATAAATCTGATTACAGATGGCTGTTTTCTGGGATGATGCTTCGTGTAGTCTGGTACACGTTTACCGACGTTACAGAGGTACTTACTGCATCCGTCATCATGGCGATAAGTCCTGATAATGGAAGAAACAAGCACTTGTGAAACGTCAGTAAACTTGTAGCCGACTACACGGCGCAAAATCCCAGAAGACAGCCATATTCGTACTCACCGCCGTGAGAACATTAAATCTCACCATAAACCTACTTTCTGAATTTTTCCGTTGTTCGGAGACTTAATGAAACATTTTAAAATTATGTGTTGTTACAATTAAACACATAGTTTTGTAATTCCTCAACAATTAACCTCAAAGGGAACATTTCACGTTTCTCCAGACCAGCAACTGTAGGAATGAGTTTACAGAGCTCCACCACTTGCACAATATTCTGTTCTGCAGAGGGCAACCGTTCCGCCACTGCGCTCTCGGCCGGTTCCAAGTATGGAACACACCGATATATTCTCTCATCAGCTGGTCTGAACGTGACGGACCACGACAATGATCGGTGGCGATCACTCAGCACTGTCATACAAACAACCAGCAGGAGTCTCGGTGGGAGGGGCAGTAGCCTACCCACTGTGCCAAAATAAAGTGACTTCCCTACAGCGACAGAAATTTCAATTGATTTTATGCTATGATTTCCTTTATACTTATTTAGAGACCTCTATCAATTACAACCAGGCGTAGGGAACAAGTCAACAGCATTTTTACTCTGAATTTGATGGTTGCAAAGTGGTCTCAGTACAGTGCTAAAAGTCGATTAAAAAACTAAACCAATATTTTTGCTATCAGAGACAAGATAGTTGAACATTAAAACACATGCTAATAAAAATATGACTCTAGGGCCCAAGTATCAAAAATCAAATTCACGTGGTTTTCTTCGGTTCCTTGCGGAAAATTTCGGAATAAAAGCTTGCAATGGTACATGACCGTTTCCACATCATAATACATAGATAAGTTAATAGGCAATTCCTGTTAGAACAGGGCCTGTAAATTAATTAATTTTAGCCAAGAATAATCCATATACATTTTAAAGCCTCTTCCAAAATATCACGCCAGCAACAATATGACACATTCAACAGAACAAGTTTCACTGTAGCAAAAATTCTATAGCCGACTAAATTTTCGGGAGGTTACAGTTATTTACAAGTCGAATTACATAGAAACAGCAGTACCCTTTAATTATAATGACTAAAACGGGCCTATATGTGTTCTTAGTGCAGGATATAACCCTAAAACGTTTACGCCGGCATTAGACGCTGTATAGTAAATGAGACAGAAAAGGATTTATGAGCACGTTCTATGTACCAATGGACCTAGACTAATTCGAAAGAAAGAGACGGATATCGTGGTGGCCGTGCGTCGTTAAGTCGTGATTATCTTCACACAATGTAAGCCAAGGGTTCCTTTAACTAGGTGAGTAGCACCGCAAACCACATGTTACACCCATACGTATGAAATTAGCCAATCAACATTCTATGACAACATAAAATTGACCAACAGTAAACACCTACATATTTCTGTATATGACGCACGCATCCTGAATACTTAAAAGTTACGTCGAAGGTTGCCATGTCAGTAGAGCATGTAAAAACTATTTGTTAAAGCACAGGTCTCCTTGTTCATTAGATGCGACGATAACCTAAATATTCAGATCCTGGTTCACAAACGTATGCAAATAATAGTCAATCAGAGGGAAAGATACATTAATACTATTATACCACAAGCGTTCGATTAAGTACTGGGACTATTATAACCAGGAATAATCAAATAAATTGTATGCAGTGTCCCGGACTAAAAAAGAAGATACAAATTCCTGTCCCTGTCTCCATTCGGCTTCCGGCCACGCTGCCGGTAACCACTTACTTTGCTCACTGAATGTTTCAGCTGTCCTCTGGTCTTCATTTCGCGATAACATGCCCATAACATCAGTTACTTTTGATATCCCTGAACTATACTATCGACGGTGTGCAGTTTGTCGTGTGGGAGGAAGCAACGTGGTTGCTTTCATTTGGTGATGCTGTGTAATTATCTCCATTGTGCGCGGCGATCAGCTGTCTGTGTTGGTGAGGTAACTGGGATGGGCTACACAAATACGGACTTTAGATTCTTCTCAACATCTGGGCCAGTTCCAAGAAGTTCAACTTCTTGTACCTAAAACTGACTTGTCCACTAAGAAACTAAATAATCGACTGATTACCTGACTTGCTGAAGGCAAACCACATATTTAAAGATTTAGA